CTAAATAATAATAATAAAATAATAAAATACAATATCGGAAATAATAAACTAATAAAATAATAAACTGTTCTATAACAATAGATTAATGTTTTTTAATGTTAGTTATGAAAGTTCAGCTATCGAAGAATTTAGTTTAAACTCAGCAAAAAACCAAGACTTGAATGATGAATCACCCGATGTATATAGCGAAGATGATAACTTTTCAAAAAGTAGTACAGAATCTGGTGAAAATTTAGGTAATAAGAGGAGCACCAGAAATTAGCTGATTTTTTAGGAGGGAGGAGGTAAAAAAAAAATATCAGGCATATAGTTTTAGCTAATTAAAATTTTTTATTTAAAATCAGGTAGGGGAAGGAGGTAGCCTCTTAATAAAAAAAATATCAGCTGATAAATGGCCCTCCTCTAACAATATTTTTGAAGACTATTTGGACCTGATTTTGATTCTGAAATGCCACCAGAGCCTAACAATTTATTTACGGACGATCGATTTACATGGATATTATTGTGGATCATAAACTTCAAAATAATGTATAATATATCAGAAAGTGCAATTGAAGCACTTTTAAAGTTTATGAAATTAGTCCTAATTGTAGTCAATAGCATGGAATTTAAGGGTAGGGTATTTGTTTACTATTTGTTTGCGCATGGTATGAAAATAAACCAATCAAAATTTAATGATCTGCAAAATTAACTAATTATAATTATATATTTGGTTGTACATGCATATTTATTTGCATATTGCATGAAAAAACATGTAAACAAATACCCTACCCTTAATTATTTTTCTATATCTAAGCATAAAGTGAATAAAGTACTTGGATTGTCTAATAAATTTGTTAGTTTTGTAGCATGCTCTAAATGTCATAAACTATACAAAGAGAATGAAGTTATTAAGTTTAGATATAATAATCGGGTGTCAATTAAGAGTTGTATCTATATAGAATTCTCTAATTCAGAAATTAGAAAAAAGAAGATTTGTGGCACTAATTTATCTACACAATCCAAGTTGACAGATGGGAAGATTGTAAATCGGCTGGAGTTGATTTTTCCTTTCAGCCCAATTAGACATCAATTGGCTAATATATACTAACATCCTGGGTTTGAGAATAGTCTTCAGCATTAGGTAGATCATTCAAGTTTAATGATATTTTATGTGATATTTACGATGGTAAAATTTGAAAAACCTTTAAGGATGAACCATTTGACAAAGATTCGGTATTATTTTTTTGTAATAAAAAAGCTAATTCACATTTGGGTTTAATAGTAAACCTTGACTGGTTTTAACTATTCGATAATATATCGCATAGTACTGATGTATTATATATATCTATAGTGAATCTGCCACCTAATATTCGATTTAAGCATGAAAATATATTAGTTTTAGAAATACTACCTGGGCTGGATGAAGTGAGCTTATATAAAATAAACTACTATCTTTTTCCAGTTGTTGACGAATTGAAGTCTCTTTGGCATGGTGTGAAATTAACTTCATCAGCCAAATTTTTAGAAGGAAGAACAATTTGTGTGGCATTGATACTAATTGCATATGATGTTCTAGCCACTCAAAAGTTATGTGGTATGTTTCGGCATTAGTAGCATATCATCATTGTGAGAAAAGTACCAATTATATTAACAAACGGTTTAATTTCAGCAATATACAAAATATGGATGAATGGTTCATTCAAAAAGATTTGGCAATACAACGGCTAAAGGCTCATGAATGGAGACATTGTAATTCTGATGCCGAAAAGAAGCATTTTGTTAAAAACAATAAAGTTCAATAGTCAGAATTACTTCGCCTAAACTATTTTAATCCTATTTGTCATGCTATCATTGATTCTATGCATTGCCTGTTCTTAGACATTGCTAAATGGATTGTTAAACAAATATGGATCGATGAAGGCATATTGATGCCTAATATATTCACAAAAATCTAATTGAATATGAATAGAATCCAAGTTCTATTGGATATTGGCCAGATTCTAATGAAATTGAACTATAGAGAAGGATTTTTGAATTTTATAGCCAATCAGTGGTGAAATTTTTTTATAATTTATACTACTGTTGTTCTCTGGAAACACCTTTTAGATGATGATTGGCAAATTTTAATACGATTTATAAAAATTTGCCAGATCTTAGTATCCAGAATACTAAAATGTAACCTAATAAATGAAGTACACAAAAGGTTGATTAAATTAATAAAGCTAATCGAAAGAAAATATGGGCCTGAAAAAATTACTCCTAATCTGCATCTTTCACTACATTTATGTGAATGTGCTTAGAATTATGGTCCACTGTATTTCTTTTGGTGTTTATCATTCGAAAAGATGAATAGAATATTAGGGTCTTTGCCGAATAGTCATTGAAAAATAGAACCAGAATTAATGCGAAGATTGATAAATAATAGTTAAATTATCAGCTTGACGGCTTCCACATCTGAAATAGAAGGTCTGAACTTGTTGAAAAATCGATCAGAAGTAGGATTACTTTCAGATACAGATTAATTTTCTTTTGATAAAATATATAGATTTTTATTTAATATGTATAATATTCAAGAATCGGTTATTACTGGTTCAGAACAATTTCCTGGTAAATTATTACTACCGCAAAATAAAAAGATAATAATTCATTCTGAATTATTGGATTTGCTAGTAGAATATTATACTGCGGCTTATGAAATGTTGAGTTTTAGAAAACCTTTTGCTAACGTTCTTGATAACTCAATTATTGTTTGTAACCTGGTGGACCAGTTCGGAAGATACCAAATAGGATCTGAAATATATGGCTCTGACATATCTTCTCATTATATAAAAAGTTTATTTATTTTGGCCTGGTTTGTAAATCAAGATAGAAGTATTGATCTGTATCCTGGACAAGTCTAGTATTATTTTAGTCATTCAATAAATCTTCTGAGTGGGTTTATAGAATACAAATTAGCATACATTAGATAGTATAAACATGTAAATTCAGCAACAACTTGGTTTTATTTTAGTAGCGATGAAATTTGTAATATTGAACTTTAGAATACTCAATTTTACCTGATTCATCGTGAATATATTATTCCAATACATAACATTTTTGGTTGATTTATATCATTTAAGTATAAAAAATCAGATTGACAAAATTCTTAGGAATATTTAGCTATAATTCCTCTAAATCGTAAATTTAATATTTAAATGTTAGTCTTATTCTGTAATCAATATTAATTGTTAATAATAATTGCAGTTTTTTAATTGAATATTAATTGTTAATAATAATTGCAGTTTTTTAATCAAATATTAATTGTTAATAATAATTGCAGTTAAGGATATAGCGACTTAGTGAAGTGGTCAAGTTGTTACCCCCCAAGTGGCAAGTCAAGAGTTCGAACCCCACCAGTGACGAAAATTCGAATTTCTATTTGTGTTATGGTAACTATCTTCTTAAGGTTAGGATATCTGATCCTGTAACTATAGTCAGACCAAATAGTGGCTGGGATAATTACTACCCAAAATTAGGTTTGTACCTGACTCAGAATAGCTTATTTCAGAAAGTTTACTAAGAACTGAGTCAAGATTTGAAAGATCATATAGCATTTGTATAATGGAAGAGTTGTACAATGAAATGCAAGCTGGTATAGACAGTGCAAACCCACGATAAGTCCTTGTGTTTGTGTAAATCTATAGAATCAATGAAGATAGAAACCCGCTTGGCAAGACCTGAATAAGGAGATAGCAGAAGCCTAGTATGGCTTATGGATCGGGGTCTTGATTGCAGTGGCTATGTGAACCTTATAAGGGCATTAAAAACTAGGTTAGCCATTAATAGTAGGGAAAATAGAAGGCTCTAATAGGTTTACTCTGAGAATAAAATTGTTCTAAAGTAGTTATGAATATTAGTTTGAGGTTATGTATATAGAAATATATATACAGTTGATGTGGGACTGATACTGTAAAAGTAACCTGTTAAACATAAATAAAATACTAACCAAAGAGGTCATCTTAAGACCAAAAAAAAAAATAATAATAATTGTAGTTTTTTAATCGAATATTAATTGTTAATAATAATTGCAGTTTTTAATTGAATATTAATTGTTAATAATAATTGCAGTTTTTTAATCGATTAAAATCAAATATTTATGATTATTATTGATTTTTAAAAAGACAAATCATTTATTTTATTACTGAAAAATAACTGAATTTTTAATAAGGAACTGCTATTGTACTACATATACTATTCGCATCATGTGTATTATTCGATTTTATCACCTTTTTCTTTTTTAAATTTTTTGAACTTTGATTTAAGATATCTCAGCAACCAATTGATCAAATTTGATGAAAATTTTTTTATTTGAATTCTACAGTTCTGTAGAATTTTGAAAAAAAAAAATTCAATTTGATCGATTGATTGCTAAGATATCTTCGATCAATTTTAAGAAAATTTTAAACTGAATGTATGTTCATATAGAAACTGCGCCAAAATTGTTTACAATACTTTGATCGAAGATATCTTGGCAACCAATTGATCAAATTCGATGAAAAATTTTTTATTTGAATCCTGCAGAACTATAGAATTCGAATAAAAAAATTTTCATCAAATTTGATCGATTGGTTGCCGAGATATCTTCGATCAAAGTATTGTAAACAATTTCTATATGACATACATTTTAAAACTTTTCTTAAACTTTGGTCGAAGATATCTTGGCAACCAATCGATCAAATTCGATGAAATTTTTTTATTTGAATTTTACAGAACTGTAGAATTCGAATAAAAAAAAAAGGTTCATCAAATTTGATCGATTGGCTGCCAAGATAAAGGTTTAAAACTATATGTATGTTATATAGAAATTGTTTACAATACTTTGATCGAAGATATCTTGGCAACCAATTGATCAAATTTGATAAAATTTTTTTTAGTTGAATTTTACAGTTCTGTAGAATTCAAATAAAAAATTTTCATCGAATTTGATCAATTGGTTGCCAAGATATCTTTGATCAATTTTAAGAAACTTTTTAACTCGTATATATACATTATTTCTCAACTTCCTGAAATCCGGCTCACCAAAACACTATTTTACTGAAGCTGTAATACTGATAGTCTATTTTGCTAATATAACATAAACCTGATATCCTATTTTTCTGATATACTATTTAATTAATAACCAATTTTACTGAATTTTATTTAGCAGCTAATCCCTATTTTCATAAGTCTACTTATTGAAAACTTATTTCACCGATATACCATTTTTTCGATTGTATATTTTCCTGATATACCATTTCTTCGAAAATGTTTTGCCAAATTTCTTTTTTGCTGACAGACATTTTGCCAAATTTATATTGCTGTAAATTCGGTAAAATATCTGTTAGTAAAATGGGCTTTTGGAATAATATGATAGCCTATAGAAGTTTTCAAATTTTGTAAAATATTGACTGAATGATTGGTTTGCCGGTTAAATAAGGTTTGATTCAGCGATAGTAAACTTCTGTTTGAGATATAAGTCATATATAAAATGATGTATATTTTTAATGTATAGCAAATAGCGTTCTGAACAATATTACAATGTTAATGTATTCAATATTAAAGTTTTATTTGAAAGCAGAGCTTGTTTAAATCTACACTCTTTGAATCTGACAAAAACAAATCATTGTATAACCAATATCATATACTTAAAAAGTTGAATAAATGAATCTGGATCCTTATTTTCTTTTTTTGATCGGATCAGATCTTTATCTGTCATATTGCATCAAAGCAATATATATTAACTCTGGCATGAATCTTTGATCGAATAAAACTTCTGATATATTATTTTATAATACTGCTTTTTATATCGTTTTTATATTTTTTAGGATTGCATGCTTTTTTATCTTTTTTCACAAAATATTACCTAGGGATGTTATCTTGCTCCAACCGCATCGAGCATAATTATTATATATTGATATGAACTAAGTTCGGAAATTAGTTTCATGTAAATGCTCTAAACAGTATTCGAACGGGTTTTTAAGCACAAACTAACTATTTACATAAAAACAGATTTTTGAACTTAGTTCATATCAATGTATTAATAATTATACTTGGTATATTTACATAAAAACCGATTTTTGAACTTAGTTCACTAGCAATTATGCTTGCATGTGCTATCGCTATTGCTTTTTATTAAAGCAAATACATGAAATTTATATTTAAAAATATATGCATTATAATGTTATTGTATTTATTGCATCTATCTCTGTTATTTATCCAATTAATAGCCTTAATTACAGTCACTTAATGATCTTTTTATGATTTATGTACATGTATCAATCGTTAAGTCACTTAATGGTCATTTTATAAATCATGAAAAGATCGTTAAATGACTTTAACGATTAATACATATACATAAATCATGAAAAGATCATTAAGTTACTTAACGGTCATTTTATAAATCATGAAAGATCGTTAAGTCACTTAACGGACATTTTATAAATTATGAAAAAATCGTTAAATCACTTAATGGTCTTTTCATGATTTATGAAAAGATCGTTAAGTCACTTAATAATCTTTTCATGATTTATAAAATAACTGTTAAGTAACTTAACGATCTTTTCATGATTTATAAAATGTCCATTAAGCGACTTAACGATTAATACATGTACATGAATCATGAAAAGATTGTTAAGTGACTTTAACAATTAATACATGTACATGAATCATGAAAAGATCGTTAAGTCGCTTAACAATCTTTTCATAAATCATGAAAAGACTGTAAGTCACTTAACAATCTTTTCATTATTCATAAAATAATCGTTAAGTGACTTAACGATCTTTTCATGATTTATAAAATAACCGTTAAGTGACTTAACGATCTTTTCATGATTTATAAAATGACCGTTAAGTGATTTAATGATCTTTTTATGATTTATAAAATGACCGTTAAGTGACTTAACAATTGATACATGCACATGAATCATGAAAAGATCATTAAGTGACTTTAATGATTAATACATGTATATGAATCATGAAAAAATCGTTAAGTCACTTAATGATCTTTTTATGAATTATGAAAAGACCGTTAAGTCACTTAATAATCTTTTTATTATCATAAAAAGATTGTTAAGTGACTTAACGATCTTTTTATGATTAATGAAAAGATCGTTAAGTCACTTAACAGTTATTTTATAAATCATGAAAAGATCGTTAAGTCACTTAACAGTTATTTTATAAATCATAAAAAGATCATTAAGTCACTTAATGGTCATTTTATAAATTATGAAAAGATCGTTAAGTGATTTAATGATCTTTTCATGATTCATGAAAAGATTGTTAAGTGACTTAACGATCTTTTCATGATTCATAAAAAGACCGTTAAGTGACTTAATGATCTTTTCATGATTTATGAAAAGACCGTTAAGTGACTTTAACAATTAATACATGTATATGAATCATGAAAAGATTGTTAAGTGACTTAACGATCTTTTCATGATTCATATACATATATTAATTGTTAAAGTCACTTAACGGTCTTTTCATAAATTATGAAAAGATCGTTAAGTCACTTAACGGTCTTTTCATGAATCATGAAAAGATCATTAAGTCACTTAATAGTCATTTTATAAATCATGAAAAGATCGTTAAATCACTTAACGGTTATTTTATAAATTATGAAAAGATCGTTAAGTTACTTAACGGTCATTTTATAAATCATGAAAAGATCATTAAGTCACTTAACGGTCTTTTCATGATTCATGAAAAGATCGTTAAGTCACTTAATGATCTTTTCATGATTTATAAAATGACCGTTAAGTGACTTAACGATCTTTTCATAATTCATATACATGTATTAATTATTAAAGTCACTTAACAATCTTTTCATGATTTATAAAATGACTGTTAAGTGACTTAATGCTTAATACATATATATAAATCA